TGAAAAATAACTTGAAAAAGTTTCTCCCAAAGGTTGAACTTCTTTCTAAAACCTGTTGGTTTTAATCACTTCCACTCGCCACCAGGATGAAAAACTTAAGACCCACTCGCTCCATTCCCACCTTTTCACTCTTGGCAAACATTTTGCTGATTTCTGGACAACGTCGCTTGGCATCGCTTTGTTTTTGTATTAACCAATACTTCATCTGGCTGTTTGCAGAGGGGAAGAATTTTAAATAATATTCCTCACAGTTGTTTTGTCTTCCATCTCCTTTATTGACATTCAAAGGCAGCAGCCCTGGTACAGCCTCAGTGCTGGACCTGGCCACCTAAGTTATTTAAAGGTGAAAGCTGGGAAGACGACCGATTGAGTGAAAGGACAAATTTATCACTACTAGGCTGTCTACCACATTTGCATTGGGCACAAGTTCAAATGATACTGTTGATTTTGGGTGATTATCTTTGCTAACAACTCTCCTAAAGAGTCAGGAGTGCAGGACTGCTGGATGAAATGCAGGGCTGGGAGTCAGACTGCCTGTTTGCTGCTGACTGATCGGGCTGAAAACACTGACCTGAGAAAAAGTTTTACCTGCTTCAGAGGACATCCCTCAAGTTTCTAAAGGAGCATTTAAATCTGTAAATGAATATTGCTATTTAGCATTAACAATGTTACTTGGACCATCAGAGGACAACACAATGAAACAAGAGCAGGTCAGTCAATAGCTCTTTGCTAGCTCATCTCTTTTAATTTCTGAGTGTCATTCTGACGGACAAAGATCACCTCCATATATTGCACCAAATTGGCACTTGTTTAAAGGATCAGTCCCAGTCAGATTACCCCACTGCAGCCACCCCTCCACATAGACTATTTGGATTATGATATTTATTTCATTCGAGTTGCAGACCAAAATCTCTATTGAATGTGTCTCATCTGACTGAGTCTTCACAACACAGGCTTTTAAGGAAATACAGGTCTGCGACCTTTATCTTAAGAGTGCCAAACAGCAAAACACAGGTAGTTTCACTGAGTTTCTTTTATGTTCCTTTCCTATACCTGATTGCTCATAATTGAAAATGTAGTCGTATCTGCATTGCCGGCTCCATCTACAAGCCACTTTATTTGCTTACTATTCTGAAGCACTCCCTAGGCTTCTGCTAATAATTTTTCTTGACCTTTATTAAAGACCAAGCATTAGCTGGCAATTAGATTTAGTGATTCCTTTGGGGATTGAGGCTCAGTGATTTACTGTAAATTATAAATAGTTCAAATGTTTCATTACGTGTATTCTTTATATAAGCTTTGTGGCCAGGTAAGCACTGACATGACATTCACTGTTAAATGATCTCATTAAACTTCCTAATTTAAGTGGTGCAACACTTCACCTGCCACATTATCCAAGGACTCTTGCAACGCACATTAAAGATTCAGCTTCGATAGATGCTCTACCATAGTTCACCTTGTTGGGAGTGAAATTTCAGTCCCCGAACATAAGGTTGACTACCTGATGCTGTTTGTCAGAGACAATAAATAATGCAAATAGATACCCATGTAAAGTAATAGGTTAAAGACATCAATAGCTTTCCCACAGAGTTTTGAAAGAGGCTTTTAAAAGAAAGGACTTTAAATCGTGAAAAAATGCCACTAAAATTAAAGCGGTTAAGGAAAAGGAAGGAAGGTGCTGGTTTCTTTCATTTCTGTATGAATGCAATGACTGTGCAAGATGATTTCTTGAGAACCTGGAAGGCGTGTGCCCTTTTTTTTTTTACTAATAACCTCCAAGCAAAAGGAGGCGCAGTCACACAACCTCCCACCTCAGAGCTGCTCGCAGAGGTTTGCCTTTAGCCATTTCATCCCTCGTTTTCCTGCTGAGAATGTTTAATGGAGCTGAATGGAGTCACAGTTGCATAATGCACCCCATCATTTCACTTAGGCCAATAAATAACATATTGTCTCATGACTAGAGGGAAACACAGCATTTCTGTTGGAGGCACCTTTATGTCCAGTATCTGTTTGCCAGTAACAAACAGGTATCTGCAGTAACAACTAGAAGCACATGGATTTGGACTCCCTTTGTGGTAGGTGCTGGACCTACAGACTTCACAAAAGACACATTAAGGCATGAGGAAGAATAGGGGTATCTAAATTTTCGTGGCTTGCACATGTTCTATTTTACACATTTTTAATTGTTTCCCTCCCAAAATGAATAGTTCTAATATTTTTCCCCCCCTGCCTTTATATAGTATGATCTTTGACATCTGCTTCTGGATGTCTCTTCTGAAGGCTGAAGGGCTCCTAGCAATTGTAATGTAGCCTGTGAACATATCAGACTGCTCCCAGGACAAATTTAGGCTTCGTCATATAGTATTAACCCCACACATTGAATGTGTTTTTCTGACTTAGAAGGCTGGATTAGCTTTTACTATCAAAATAGACGTAGTAAAGGTTTTAGTGTTACAGATGGAATGGCAGATGGGAAGCGAAGGCTTAATGTGAGGCAGCTCTGGATAAAAATTATTAATCCACAAAATTCATATGTTCTTGTGCAGGGAAACCTAGAAAACCCACTGCAATATGACTAACCAGTGAGAGAGGTGTAAACTGCCCCAGCCCATTATCTTAAAAATCATGGCATGAGGTCTGAAAAAGGAAAAAACCCTCAAACACCCTATTTACTACTTTCTGAAAAAAGAATCCGCTCTCTATGAGGTATGCAAAGAGGTAACGCCTTCCTAAAGATTATAAAGAGTATTAATTTATAACATCTCTACTACAAAAATGAAATGAACTCATATATACATATATCTGATGAGATAACATTTTCCAGGGTTTATAGCTGCAATACTCCGTATTAAAAAAATTTAACGGTACCTATAAGTCACTGTAATTAAAGTTGTACTGGAAAAGCCTTTTTACTTTTTCTTGAAGTGCACGGTGTGGAGAAGAAGCACATTTCCATCAGTTCTGGTAACAGAATACTTTGACAGAAAGGGAAGCGAGCCCTTCAGATGCCCGAGCGGCTGCTGAGAGCCCACTGTGCAGCTCTGACAGCGGCTGCAATGGAGAAGCATGACCTTCAAGAATTTTCCCCATGAAGGAATGAGTGCCTGGAGTTTTTCCAGCTGAATGGCACTTGTTTAGAGTTTGAATGATTGCAAGATACCACAGCATTATTACAAAGAAGCCATTAACACTGCACTGACTACAGTCTACTCAACAAATCCTGTGATTGTTTATGGCCATGTCTATAAGTAACTGATCCCATCTGGCCTTGCGGTTTAAATTGCTCCAGAGAGAACTAAGAGCAGCTGAGACCATCATAGGTCATGGCCTCAACACTACATGATGTTTGGGTGGGCTCAACACTGCAGAAGGATGAATGGATACATCTGCTGGAACTAGCCTGCAATTGTACTAGGCCTTCAGAAAACATTCTCCTACAATTTATCTTACTCGATTCAAAGTGCCAACACCTACATCCCCCTTTATGGACTTGCATTAGTTCCTCCCTGGGAAAGTTAACGATAGGGAATACCAAGCTAGCTTTCTTCAAGACTCAAGACATACACAGGGAACTACACACTCTCCCGTACAAGCAAGATAATGAGTCAAACTTGTCAGATCTCTTCCTGTTGGACACCAAAGTGTTCAGATCAGATGCCACATGAAATACTGTGATTTCTTAATTCAAATCCCCATGTTCCAGTGCCAATGCAATCTCTGTGACTCTTGTGGTCTTCCCTGACTTCTCTCCACGAAGTGTGCTGCATTTCACTGACGGTGCTTAGAAATGAGCTCCACCAATAAAGCTTTTTGTCAGTTCTCACAAAATCCTTCATAAGACATGTGCTCATGAGTTGTTCTTTATTTTTCACTTCAGTGGGGATTTCTGTCTGAGTAGCAGCTTAAGGAATGGTCCCATACTTTGAGAGAGATCTTGCAGAGACCTAATCAGCACAAGGCAGTGAAAGCGACCAATATATTTCTTTTCTATGAGTATTTTTGCTAAACACAGGACAGTATTAAAAGTATATTATGTTACTATCATCAGAAAATCTCCCAGGAAAGCTACTTCCCCTTTTATCAATTCATTTTGACATACAGGGAAACAGAAGTCACAAGGAGAATTTCCTTTTCCCCCTTTTTTAATAATTCTTACAGCTTAAAAGCAATAGTTGAAGGACACTTGTTTTTTTTAGGGTTGGGTCTTTTTAGGAGTTTTTGGGGGATTTTTTGATTGCTTGTTTTCTACGGACTATCTGTTCTTGCAAAATGTAGTAAACCTTACAAAATACAGCTGTGGGGCCTGGGTTATGTAAATCCAGAAAGAATATCGTTTCACTTAAAATTATGAGCCTTGTCATGTGGTGATGTGTGAAGTTCTTTGCCTGACACCATCTGAATAAAGATATTCAGGCAACGGTTGGTGCTGAAGATATAATTGACTCCTAGCAACTTATTTGTCACTTCTACTATCATTATCCTCCACAGAAGTAGTACTAAAAAAGGAAGACGAGAACATTACCTTCACTGAATCTATATTCATACCTTCAACATTTTCCGAGACATCAAATTAAGCTGTAGATCAGAGCCCTGGGAGGATCTCTTCATGCCTAGGCTCTGTTTGCTGCTGTTTGCTCTGTACTTCCTGCTACTTTACTCATCCTGTCTTGCACATGCCCCTTGCTGGAAATGAGTAAATAGCGCAGCCTGTGATTCCTCAGTAAAAGAGAAGAACCAGTGCTGCCAGCCTGCCCACAGTCGCAGTGCCTCCTAGGTAAGCAGCAGACACACGGGGTACAGCAAGGTGATTGTCTCCTTGGCCGAAGTGTGGCTGTCAGACACCAGCCTCACCAAGGGGAGTCTTCTGTTGTAAGACAGAAGAAACTGCCCCCCTGACGTCTGCTTCTTGCAACACAGCACAGATGTGTCATCCCTTATATCCTTCAATACATATTTTCTTCAGGAATAAAACATGTACATTCTTAAAATACTCATTGTACCTGATTGGGTAGTCGGCAGCACTGAGGTTAATGAAGAAATCCCATGGCCAGTCATTCATCTCCATTAAGTCCCTCATGGTCTGCAGGTAGGTGGACAGAAGACTTGCTCCTCCCCAAATAGTTGCCATTCTCCAAGAAGTGACTCTCACATTTGGGTACTGGTTGGCAAACTGGAGCACTTGCCGGTGCAAGTAATTGGATCTCTTTACAGGAGAAAAAAGTAATACATTCAAGTTACTCTGTCCAAAATCGTCCTTCCCTGTATTCACTAACCACCAACGCTACTTCTTGAGTCACTGAGTGTTGCCATGGCTTTGCTCTCACTACAGTGCAGAAGGTTCTTTTGCTAAGTGCTAATTTGGAAATGCACAGAGACTCCTGCTTAATTCTTTTTAATATAACTACAGTAATCACTAATCAGCGTGACTAGCTTTTATTTATCATTTGGCATCAGTCGATCCCAAAGGGCTGTCGCAAAGGAGGTGACTGTTACTATCTCCTTTTTACAATGTGAAGTAAAGTAACTTGCCCAAGGCACCTCAGGTCAGTTCTCCATCCAGTGGCCCACCACTGTCAGCCTGCATCTACTTAGCAATTACTGTTAACTGAATGTACAACAGACAGACATGGATAGATACAGATATATAAGAAAAAATGAAAGCTGTTACATAAAGAAGACAACAAGAAAGAAGAAAAAAAAAGAAAAGAGGCTCCAAACACATAACAGATGGAGAGACAAAAAGTGACATGCACTCTGCAGCAGAGGTAAAGAGAAGATGAAGATGACGACAAAGATGGGTAAACTGACAGATGGTGAGACAGGCAATTTATAACCAGTGATATATTACCTTGTCAACATGAATGTAATAAAAATGGTCTTTATGGTAAATAGCCTTAAACATGCGTTGGAGCTGTCGAGAAGCTCTGCCATGAACAACCAAGACAAATGCGATCCTGACTGGGTTGGCTGGCATGTATTCTACGGAGTCCTCATCCCACTGTACATTGTTGTTGGCTTTTCCTGTTCAAAAACAAAACACAGGACATCTCTGAGCGTATCCACAGGGCAGGGGTGCAGAGAGCAGTACACATTTCACCTTGGCTCTTTCTTCAAAAGCAGATTCTGAGAAGCGAGAACTCGCGAGGGGTGTCAGCCTCCGCGCCATCAAGATTGTGACCGTGCAGGGTCACCACCCCACGGGCAGGAGCCACGCCAGCCACGCACATACAGCCCTGCCTGCACGGCTCAACCTGGACAAGGCTGCATGAACACGGCTTATCCGCGTCAAACCAAGCTCTACCTGGGTGCGCACATTTACATCTTCAAAGGAATCACTTCTAAGTGCTCTTCAAAGCATTATAAAAGTGCAAAAGTCAACTCCCTCCCTGCTCCCCTAGAAATGAAACCCCCTGTTTATCAAAAGATGTTGGTCTCAGGATCAGCACAGCTCTTCTGAGAAGCTGGTGAAACTGCTACTTAACAGCTGCTGAGGATTATCTCGACTGAGAGTATTTATTTGTAACAGCAGATGTATCCTAGAACATTTAAATGGCAACCCGCATATCTTCACCTCTTCACACAGAAAAGGGGCTCTTGCAATCCTATTTAAAGTTATGTTCATTTTTACTTTAACAGAGGAATTTCTGGTCTCCATTTAGTAAAGCAAACACCACAGTGTAAGATAAAGACAGGATGTACTGATTAACTGAAGAGCTGGAGGGACGTTTTTACTCAGGAATTTAAAGTGCTTTGGTTTTGGTTTATGTAATAGCTCTTCAACTCACAAACCTGAATACAATGTAAGAAAATTACAATTTTATCCAAAGATTGACATTCATTCTTCAGATAACAACCTCTTGAGTTCTCTGACCTTGTAAGGACCTTTCTCAACATGATTTAGGAAGAATTTCAAATTTTGCACAGAAGCAGAAGGAGGAAGGAAAGTCTCTCAAAACTCAAAAAATCCCCTCCTATCCCAATTTTCGCCATGCATATTTTAATGTTTTTTTCTTTTTAAAATGAAAGGTGATGTAATTTTTGAAAAGTTCCTGCTAAAAGGCAGCCTATCCAGGAATACACACAGATAATGAACACTACAAAGTCCCAGAGCCTCGTAGCTCCATGTAAAAGACTCTCACCTCTCTGCAGCCCCTCAAGGAACATCGATCTGTAGTAGTATTGCTGTCAAATTAACACAACTTTACTGTATTCAGACTACCCCTCAGGAAATTTCTAGCCCCATGAGTCACTCTTAACTTCAAATGGGACACCAATGACTTAAACGGTATTTCTCTGAAAAACCCTTCCATCACTAAATTCAGTAAGACTCAGATGAACAGCAGTTCTAAAAACCGAAGAAAAGCTTAAGTTTAATTTCTTCTATCAATTTCAGTCTGTTTACTATGGCCGATTGCCTATGTTCAGTCCTACTGTTTCTCCCACATAGCTCCCAATGGGTCTGCTTAGGGCTTTTGCACGATGACAGGGATAGAAAGGGACCGTGAAAGGAAGAAAAGGTGCTTCCAAGGAGAACTGGCAGGGGAATGAAGGGCAATTGCAATTGCTAAAACAACCCACTTTTCTTTTAAACTGCTTTGATTTCAAGCTGATGATGTCCCATCAATGGACTCAAGTACTTTTAGTGGTTTTCATAACATTTTTGGGTACCTCTCCTCTGAAATTAGTGGCTTTCTGTAAAGAGAGATAGAAGGCAAGGGGAGTTTAAAACAGGCATATCGTGGGTCTTTAATTTTAAACTAATTTGCTTTCAATACCCACATTATCATTTATCTACTAATTACTAGGAACAAAGTGTGAATTTTCACCTGAAATGCCACCTCACTTCACCGAGTTTCTCTAATAAATTCCTGGAGTGACTTTTTTTCCTATCTGTCATTTTCCTACTCTAACCTTTTCCATGTGCTCCTTCCTCTTTTAGGCTCAGGTCTTTATAGTCTCATTTTTCACCTGCACACTATTACGGCTTCTTTAATCTAATCCTATTCTTGGCTGCCTGGAATTTCATGAAGGTAAGAATGTTGTATTTTTTCCATCTGTTAGCATATCTGCTACTTCTGCTCTATACTGTGACTTCCCTGGTTTTAGCCCATGGCTTACTTTAGCACCCTCTATTTTGCAGACTACTTCACTGATAATGAACCAACCTGGTTTGCAAATAAGATGAAATTGGCAGGAAACATTGGACTATCTGCTTACTAAAACATACAGTAGTGCTTCAGAGCTGTATGAAGCACGTCAAGATATGAACAGCTTTAGCTACCGCATTTCTAGAAAACTTGTGCGTACCAAAGCCTTGCACATTGTGTCAATGCCTGCATATTAATAACCTGCCTCTTGTGTAGCAGCGCATCCCCTTCTGGGTGTTAGGACAGTAGCTGCATCAGAGGATTTCATTTAACATCAGCAGTAATAAAAATCTGAAAGGATTTTAAGGTAGTGCTTGCAGATGATAGCTACTTCAGTGCCATCACTAGGCTGTCATTTGCTACATGCGCTGAAGCTGACTAGTGGTGTTAATTCAGCTGGCCTCCACCTTCAGTCAAACGAAAAGCAGTTGTCAACATCAGCTGTCTCTCCCTGGCCCCCAACAGTCCTCGACAACGTTTTCACTTCTGGTCACTTTTCTCCTTCTCATCCACCGGGTAGAGAGGAGTCCTGGGCAGCTTCCCTCCTCCGCAGGGCTCCCTACACTCAACCTTCACTAACACCTCTCACCTCTCCACGCACCATCATCTGCCTTTCTAAGAGAATGAGCTAGGCCAACACAGGAGAATTCCTGTCTTCTCCTCCCGCACCAGGCACTTGGGGCAGTCTCAGTGGAACTGCAGCTGCCCCCATTTCACCTAGAAAGCTTCGCTGAACGCGGGCATTGCCTGTCAAGTGAACTTTGCTGCACATTCAGCTAATTCCCTTATTCTAGGATTAATTTAAGCAGGTCAATGTTTTATAAAATCTAATAAAAAGCCCACAATGTTAATACAAGGTAGAACGAAACCCATGAAGAGCACCAGGTTACAGTTACATCTTGGGAGCACAGCTCTACCCCCAGAAACAGGTCTGCACATGGAAGTGGGGAGAGTGACTGGACTGTCCTCTTTATGGCTGGCTGGCACAGGTGAAACAGCAGCTCTGGTCTGGAAGCGGCACTACTTCTCCTGGACTTCCCCAAAGTTTGATGTTTCGTTACACAATGGAAACAGTGGACAGAAGAGTAACCTCTCACGCTGCCTTGCTTCAGAGAAACTGCCACACAGAACCTCAACAGAAGTGGCAGTGCTTGCTCAGCACATAGCAAACATTTTCTAGCACTTGTATCAAAGCGTATTTATTTTGCTATCCTACACTGAAAACAAAACGCGGCGTTTTGCTCTGTGACCAAATGCCTTTCACAAACTTACTGAGAAAAGCAAAAGTTGCCCTTTTGGCTTCCTGCTCAAAGCATGACAGGACTGACATGAATGCGTGCTAGCAGGAAAATCTGGACTTTTTTTCCACAGATAACAGGAGAATCTCAGCTGTAGAGCAATTTCAGCTGGCACTTTCTAGATCCCAGAGAAATCAATATTCATGATTAAGAGTTTAATCTCCAACTATTGCAGTAGTACTAAATGCCAGAATAATAAACGTACTGCAATCATTTTTCGTCTTTGTTGTGGTGCCACATTATGCTCAATCATCCACCAATATAACTCAGAGCCAACTTGCTAATCTTTTACTTCTATTGCTAATTAATGAGATCATCAGACTTCTCTAGCAGCATGAAGCAATCTTTTAATGAATTGAGAGCCATATTATTTTTTGTAAACCAATCCATCAACTTGTACTCTCAGCTTGATATTGTCCTGGTCATTCAACAGAATACTTCCATGCAGAGAGCTACGTGGATGCTGCTGACTCCATCTGAACACAGCTGCGGGTGTGCACTCTGCCTTGATAGCATGAATCGATGGATAGAGGACATCAGAAGAGTTTTTGCTGTGGAGTTCAGAACACTATTTACTGCTATTACATCCATAAATGCAATCAGAAGCCCTGTCATTATAGCGGGAGTACAAGCCATAATCACTCTGAAGAGGCACAGCTCTGCAGTCCCTACTTTAAAATCACAGGAGCAGCCCTGTTCCCTTCAGTAGGACCATTTCTGCAACAGCCAGCTGAGTGGTATAGCTGCCCAACTCAGATTTCTGCTATAAACTTCTTTTCAACTGCTCACAACTCATAACAATGCAGCAGGTTGAAAATTTCAAGACTTGGCTTTTGTCTGAAAATGTTTTCCATTTTGGTTAGAATGCCTTGTTCAAATGCAGACAAGACTGAAAAACCCCAAACATTCCTTCATTTAGAAAACCCAATCTCTGTAACAGATCTAGTAACAGAAGCAGTTGGAGTTATATAAAAACAACAACAAGCTTCACTGAGAAATTTACCAGTGAACCATCAGGACCTGGTGAGAAGTCTTTGTCTGAGGGCTTGATAACGGCAACGTTTATCTCGACTCATCTAGAACTCCTGTGCCTCATTTGCCATTAGGCTTCAGAGGGGATATTCTGTTGTCCCACAGTACCCTCCAGTGAAGACACCTTGAACAGGCAAGGAAACTCCTGAAGCACACGGTGTGTTAATCACACTTAGATGAAAAAGCAATTTTTCCCATGCCAGAACCTAGAAAACTATCTTCAGCAACATTAATCCCAACTTTTGGATGCCAATTTTCATTTCCAGTCTAGGAAATTATTCTTTTTTTTTTTCTCCATGGTGGCCCTCGTGGACATCTTTACTGAAAGAAAAGATTTTAAGTGAGCACTGATTTTATAATTTTAAAAATTATTATTACTATTCATATATAGCATGCCCACCAGTCTATTCACAGGCAAATAAAGGTATAATCAAAAAGTGGGCTGAGCAGCACGTGCAGTTTTGCTGAATATGTACACCGAGAAGCAACCAGCCAGGCAGAGCTCTCTGTGTCACAGACACGTCCTGCTCGCTGTTAGGCCGCT